GTGTAACCTACAGAGGCACAACTCCACCACCAACCATGGCCATAAAAACCCATAGTGATACTTACGTTATACATATGTTCTACATTCAGGCCCATACATTGCTTAAACAAGTCAAACACTTTCTTCATTTTTTCTCTTTCCTGAATTATTTCAATTATATTATTCATACAAATCATTTCAATTATGTATAGGCCTAAATATATATTTATATAGAAGAGAAATGTATTCATGTTTTTACAGTACAGTTTTTTACAGACAAGTAATTACAGAGCCAAAAAAAGTAGGCATGCATGTATGTGCACATTTTTTAACACTCCTAGAGAGTTGTCTCGCTTTTCAAAAGTGGAGCTACACCATCAGGGCTGTGGTGATTGATTGATAATCCAAGCAATCAGCAAATGTCATTTCTCTGCTTTGGCTTTTCCTCAAAGATTCTTGACTGTCTTCCATGATGGTTTGACAGAAGTTCTTTGGAAGTACAGCATGGGAAGTACTGTATAAAAAGGCTGGAATGCCAGGTCGGTGACCCATTAAACCGTTAACTAAATGGGATGATTAAACTAGGAGAGAGACAGATAGCTGGGAGCAATGGGTTTAAGTGTAAAAAAAGAATCATGAGACTCTAAAATAACATCTTAAGCCTCTTACACACTTTACATACTGCATGCCCAGGAGGAAAATGACAACTTGACAAAAAAGCAGGATATTAGCAGGGCAGAATTGTTCAGTTTAGTGGTTAACATGCTTGCTTATCATGTATAATCAGTAATGCCATCTGATCATTTTTAACATTACCGATTGTTCATTAGCATGAATTTTATTATATATTTTATTATTTAGATTTTATTTATTATATAAATATTTTAATTTTTTATGTTGTGTTTCTTTTTTTATAAGCATGAAACAGAGAGATTTTAGGGAGAGTTCAGGGTGATCCTTTTTCCAGTATTTCAGAATGAAGAATCATGAGACTCTAAAATAACATCTTAAGGCTCTTACACACTTTACATACTGCATGCCCAGGAGGAAAATTACAACTTGACAAAAAAGCAGGATATTAGCAGGGCAGAATTGTTCAGTTTAGTGGTTAACATGCTTGCTTATCATGTATAATCAGTAATGCCATCTGATAATTTTTAACATTACCGATTGTTCATTAGCATGAATTTTATTATATATTTTATTATTTAGATTTTATTTATTATATAAATATTTTAATTTTTTATGTTGTGTTTCTTTTTTTATAAGCATGAAACAGAGAGATTTTAGGGAGAGTTCAGGGTGATCCTTTTTCCAGTATTTCAGAATGACTGCATTTCAAGATTTCATGCTGATAAAACAAAAACAATTAACGTTGTCAGACTGACTCAGTGTAAAGTAATTTAAAGTCAGCAGTTCTGGGGCGTCATCTCTTCTGAGTGACATAGGAACGCTAAGTGATTTATCAGCTCTCTAACATATTACCATCTGCCCTGTAACCACATCATAAAATATGAACACACGTTTATATGTGCAATATGTGCAGCAGTTGTGTGTTTGCCTGAATGCTGTGTGTGTGTGATTGGTTCTTCATTCATCTGTTGCAGGACAAAGGAATGGTTGTCGTCATCACTATATTTCTTCCGTTTCTCTATTAGAATGTCCTCTGGTCAGTCAGCTCTTTAGAGGTGTAATTCAACTAAAAAGGTAAACACTGTCATTATTTACACTCATTCCTAAAATTTATTAGAATACTAATGTACTGTACAGCAGACAAGATGTCCATGAGGATCTTTGTTGTGATTACAGAGGTCCCATGAGGAGAGAAAGGAGTTTTGCATTACATAAGAGGCATAAATATAGTCTGTCTGTACATATGATGAACAGATGACAAGAAAAACACCCAAAGCTTCCTTGAATTTTAGTGGACAACTGAGCCGGAGTATTCAAAACTATGCAATCTCAAAAAGTCATGTTAAACCTGGTGAACATGTGCAGTCCTGCTCTCCTGCCATATCTGATCTGATTACAACACTGTTAATAAATTGTGTATGTACAGTATCTCTACTCAGAATCTCAATCTTCTCAATATTTTAAATTACAATAAATCTCAAATTCCCAGCCTCTATGGAAATGAAAAAACATGCCATGAGAAAGCATTGACCTTAATGCACTACCACACCTGAAGGCTACGTATGAAGGCTAGTGTGCTGTTTAAGCAGGTAAAACATGTTGGAGTCATACACTGACATGATCACCTTCACCTGCTAAACTGCTGTACACAGGGACGCTGCAGACAGATCATATTTGCTTAAATTGACTCACTTTCTCATCTTTCAGCATCCCAGCTGACACTGAATAAGCCTGTTCCCCATTCCTGTCCTTAAGGAATGTGTGTGTGTGCTTGTGTGGGTGTCAGTTCATTTCTCCCCTATTTTCTGACACTCACTAACATACAGAGTGGCATCCTGCATCCTGTTTTCATTCCAGCTATTCCATTGTACAGAGGGACGCTGCAGACAGATCATATTTGCTTAAATTGACTCACTTTCTCATCTTTCAGCATCCCAGCTGACACTGAATAAGCCTGTTCCCCATTCCTGTCCTTAAGGAATGTGTGCTTGTGTGGGTGTCAGTTCATTTCTCCCCTATTTTCTGACACTCACTAACATACAGAGTGGCATCCTGCATCCTGTTTTCATTCCAGCTATTCCATTTTTTTTTTTGTTAAATGAGAATACGTCCAACTCTAATGTGCATGAATGCATTCATCTTATGTGCTTTCAAATCCAACATGTGTATTAAATGTGTGCATTATTAGTTTTGGTATTTGGTATCTATGGTATCGAGCTTATATATATATATACAGTGGGTACGGAAAGTATTCAGACCCCCTTAAATTTTTCACTCTGTTATA